AATATGTATGAATTTCAACCAAAACCTTATCAAATCTGCGCATTAGTCCAGAGCATCTATGCACCAAGTTTCATCAAAATCCAATGAGTGGTTCTTTAGATATCAGTGGAACAGTCATAGAACAGCTAAAAATTAGCTAATTATCATGCAAATTAGGTAATTAACAAGCATGGATTTTTACCAAAACGTAATCAAATCTGCGCATTGGCCCAGAGCATCTATGCACCAAGTTTCATCAAAAACCGATGTATGGTTCTTGAGATAGCAGTGGAACAGTCGGACACACATACACACATACACACACACACACACACACACACATACATACAGACAGACACACTAACTGCAAAGACTCCCATTTTGTGCTTCGCACATGGGAGTCAAAAATGTGAAATCCTTACGAAGTGGAGAAAACACATAACGATTTGCATACCGAGATTTCACAGCGTTTTGTATGAGATGCTGAATTTTCGAATTATTAACATCGAGTTACGAAAACATCCAGTTACAAAATTGACCATGCCTATATTTTAGAAAACACGCTCATTTTTGCGAGTTCTCATCTAATTTGTAACGTCAGCATATAGTAACTGGAATGTTAATTAACAGTTTTATACTTGCCTGCAACAGGATTAACAGACAAAAAATGTAAATGAGGTATATACCCTAAATACATAGTGTCAGTACCCGATTCAGGTGGACGGATCACTCTTGTAAAAGTCGGTGAAACTAGCTTAATTACAGTGTTTGTCATTATTGCAACAACTGTAAGCACAATTTGATCACCCCATACACCTGGTTTTCTCATATTCTCAATATATTCGTCCCAGCTCAATTTCATGTCCAGGAGATCTGCACTCACAAGATCCTATTAAAATAATTAATACAGAAGCGGATTCATTCGTTCATTCATACATTATTCATTTACTGTTTCAATTATTTATATTAACATAAAAAACATCTTACATTCGATTATTAAAAAAAAATATACAGTTAGAAAGAAGAAGAATATTTATATGATATAATGTAACATGCATATGTAATTAATTCCAACCTCAAGATTTTCTTTAGAATTTATCATGTAATCAATTACTATCTGTCGTAACATCAGATGATCCAGAACGTCTTGGAGGATATTTAGTTTCCCACTCATCTGGTCACTTAGAGCGTGAAACAAGCAATTGCCGTCCCCAGGGGTCGGTGGATTTTTTATCTGTAAGCCTTCTTTCCGTAGGGCGGCATTCAGCTCATCAGTATATTTAGCAACATGTTCTGCTTCCATCCGTGACTGTTTCAACACATTTAGTAAATCCAAAAACTCTTTGATATACACTGTATTATAGGAAAAACATAAGGACTGTCACAGGTCACGTTTATGCCTTACTTGTAAGACTTACATATACGACAGCATTCCATAATGTTGGTA